GCACTATGAAAGTCTGAGTCCTAACACCATTTGTTTAATAAACAGTAAATTTAATGCTTTTCTTTTAGTTAAGCAGGTATGAACTTGTCAAGATTGCAGACAAGGTGGCACATGCCCATTTTTAACTGTCTTGAAGTAAGAAAACATCCTCTTACAATAAGGGTGACTCATCTAGAAATGTAGTTAAGATCAGGCTAATACAAAACATTCTAAAAAATTTCCATTAGGACTACTGCCCTCGGGGTAGGTATCTTTGAACTCTAGTTTCAGCATGTAAACTTTAAATGGTACTGCTCAGTAGAAGACTGTAACTCAAGAGTCCTTCTTTCTTGCTCCTTTTTATTTTCTTAAGGGCCCTTCCTCTGCAATGACCTTTTCACAAGAGTGTGCACTTGCCCTCACATTTGGCTGAATAAGTGTTTACTGATGTAGATACAATTATGTTTTGCAAGAAAAATATAATGCCTTCAAACTGCTTATGCCTGTTGGGACCTATGTACTGTGTTTTGTTTTATATGAAGAACCTACATGTCTTTTTCTGGAAAAAAACAAAAAACTGACATAAGCCTTGTTCATCAAAGGACAAATATCTTATTGGAGGTATGCTGCACTTTCATGGGCACACTCGTTAACCAATGTCTGCTCTCTGCTGTGAGGCAAAGAAACAGATTGACGGGTAGGGATGTACTCCTCAGGATAGTTACTGTCAGGTGAAAACACCCTCTGTGTTGTCTTCTACCACAAAATCTTCCTTCCTTTCTTGTATACTAACACTGGCAGGGGCAGCGTCAAGTTTGGCTTTTGGGTTTTGTGGTTACAGAGGAATGGTAAACAAAAAATTATTAGCTATTTTAGGTTACCTGTGTTATACGAATAACAATTTCAACTCACTTCTATTGAATATAGATTAACTAGATGCTTGGCAGTAGTTATTTCATTTTTCTTGTGTTTACAGTTGTAGAAACATCTCTTATGAAATACTAAAAATGCCAGGAAGAAGCGTAGTGAGTTTCTAGACCATTGCTATGTAGAAGGTGAAAATGGAATTCTGATAAATTAGTTTACTATTTTGGATTCATTGCAGACTTCAAAAGTATTTTGCTGAATAGGATGTGCTTCCAAAATAGTCGGAATTGTATTGACAGACCAAGACTGGCGTGGTATGAGCACATGTTTACAAAAACAAGTGTATGTATACATGTATATGTGCAATTAAGAGAAAAAAAATCATGTCTGTAGGCTAAATACTGCTTTCCATTTAGATGCATTTTCTTTCATATGGTATTAATTCCCTATGATATGATATTTATGATCTTTATTCAAACAAAGTATTATTTTAATTGCTGCTGTTTGTGGCCTGCTTTTTAGGTAAACTTTTAAAGTTATTTGTTGCATTACACTTAATATGTTATCTAACTAACATAGTTCATAAACACGCATACATTTTAATATATAATTTGGGTGAGATCCTAGGATAAAGACTGTAACAGGTGTTACTGGATAATAACACGATCTAAAGCTTCAGGATATCAAAGGAGGGCACAGAAAAATGGAAAAGAAAGTTTTCTGCTGGAGAGAGAGGGAGGTTTAATTGAACAAATTCTGAAATCCTGTGTCAGATTTATCTTTAATAAAGCAAATTTCCTGATGAAGAGCTTAAATGTATAACCTAATAAAATCCGGCAGTGTAGTTTCAACTGTTTTTAATTTGTGCAAAAAATATGCTCTGAGTGGATGTTAAATGTGATGCAGTATGGGGAGGGTTACTTCATAATCTGGTAAAACTGGAATGAAGCTGAGAGTGAATGGGGGACATGTATTAGGAAGAGTAGTTTCCAGGGAAGTAAGAAGTTTAAACTAAAAAGAGAAAGAGGAAGCCAAAGCAAGATAGAGATTTCGATTGGTAACGTAATAGGAGGAAAAAAGGGGTTGGACAGATGAAAAGGAAGGTAAGGTGTGAATGCGGGGAAGAAAAGGATAGTGATGCATGGTGGGAGGCCAAGAGGTCATAGGCAAAAACTGAACCAAGGGGAGTTCCAACACAATAAAAGGGAAAGCTTTTTCACCATGAGGACAGTCAAGGAGTGAACAGGTTGCTTGGAGAGGTTGTGTTGTCTCCCTTCTCAAAGGTATTCAAGGGACTAAGCATTCAGGCCTGATCTCATGAGTGATCCTGCTTTGAGCAGGCATTTGGACTAGAGACCTCCTGAGGTCACTTCCAGCCTGAATTATCCAGCAGTTTGAAGAAAACCAAAATTTTGTTAGTTGAATATTAAAATTCTTTGTGGCATGCTTAAAACTTGGCTTCCCAGAACGACTGTTTTGTTCACCCAAACAGAATTCTGAAGACCAGGAATCAAATACTGCATGCAGTTAGCTTTACTGGCAGTCAGCAGAACTCATGAACGCCATGAGGTTTGAGCCAGGACTCCAGCTGTGCTCACTGCGTTCAGTGTGATTACACTGAGTGACAGAGAGCTCCATCAGCTCACTGGAGGTGGGACACAGGCAGTCTAAGGGAGGAAGGCTCTACTCAGCCTTCCATCCCACAATACAGCAAAGGTGCAGACTGTCTAAAGTAACACATACATCTTTTTGCCCACTTGAAACAGTTGGGGTTGAAATGGAAATAAAGTTTTAAACTTCAACTAGAACAAAACTGTTGTTTTGCTGTAATGATTTTATAAAAAGTGATTTCCTAGACTTCCTTTATTAATTTTTCTTGACTGTTTAAAACCATGTAGCATCTCTTCAATGTGTGTATTATCGTTTTCATACTTTATTAGTAGACTTTCCCCTATAAATTTACATTCCTCCTCGTGGTTAAAAATACATTTTTTTCACACTTCGTTCAATTTTTCTTTCTTTATTAAATTCAACCTGCAAATCCTAGTTGCTTTTTCAGTAGTCATCTCTCTCGTTTACATTACGGGAAATTAGAGGTTTAAGGGGTCTGGGGGGGAGCAGTGAGATGGGATTTTATAGTTGCAGTCTTTGAGCAGCCTCTTAATGAGGTTGCTTTTGACACTTGCTGTTGATAACTGACTTCTTTTTAAAAAGAACTGTCTGAGCATAAGTTATCGTGCCTTTTTGGATTCCACAGCCTTCTTCCACATGTGGATTTTTGTAATAGCTCCAATCTGACCTTCTTCATTAAATTAATTAGTTCAATAGAATCTGAGTTCTTGAAATCTGATATGCCAGACTGGTTTATTATGTACATCTATTTTGTATGTGCAGTGTAGCTGCATTCCGTGTACAGCACTAAATTCAAGTGGCTCTTGTTCTGATTTCAATCTACCCACCACTTTCTTTCTGCTGATAAGAAATTAATTCAGTATGGTTTCCCAGTGACCCATTTTTTAGACTGTAGAGTTATACTGTATTAAGTAGGAGCCAACTTTGATGCACATTCAATGTATTTTTTTGCCCAATGAATCTATGGGAAGATAATTTCTCCCACAGTTGTGGTATCCTGTGATTTCCAGCCCTGGCCATGCATTTTTTCAATTCTCACTTTCATCTGGTTGTGCTGGTACACACGCAGATGTTTATTGTTCTCTCTCTTTATCCCCCCTCCCCATTCTTGCTAACTTAATACAAAGCCAGTTGCTACCATTAGTTTCATTGTCACATTATAAATATTAAACATAATAAATGCCTGTGATTCATAAAATTCTTGCAACGGTCCTTTGGGATCCTCAGTGGTTATTTCACTTTTCCTGCTCACAAAAAATGGTTTTAAAATCACAAGTCACTTTCCAATAATGTTTACTCTGTAGCAGCTTAAAAATTAATTTTCAGGTCCATATGTCTGTTTATAAAGAAGCCTTTAGCAAATAGAATGTGAGATATTTACTTAAGTAATGCATCTGATTGAACTTATTGTGTGTTATGCAATTATAAAACAAAACTTTCCACATGCAACAAATATGTATCTTTATATTTGAATTTGCTTGAAGAGCAGTTAGGGCATATTTTTGTAATTCTTTTTATGCCTTTCACAACTGATTTGTTTTGTGGTGGGGGTTGGTATATTTCTGTCTCTGAAGCTTCATTGATGTCTGCTTTAAACATAATTAGACTTTACATTTGTGAAATTTCTAGCGGTGCATGGAATGGCTGCCTGAAAGACATTGGAAATCTTAATGTTTTGCTCTGCATATTAATTCAACATCTAAGTGATCAATTCCTGAATTAGAATTGAGAGTTCCAGACTTGAATTATTTTTACTTGTTTGCTTAAGGAAAGTGGTCACTGAATCTTCAAACTGTAGTCAATGGCAAGAGAAAATACTCATTTTCTGAAATATTTGCTTTATTGAGGAGATCGGGCAATAACTTGAAACTATTGTTCTTGTTATCAACAAAATACTGTATTCCCCCCCCCCCCCCCCAGTAAAAGATCTAAGAGGTTGCCCATGCCAAGATCTTTGTCATTGACTTTCAGCTTCTTTGGTATTAAGATGAACAGTTGTATCTGCTGTCTTCTGGAGCACTTTCTTCAATACCTTTTTTTTGTTTGTTTTTTTTTCTGTTATGTAGTATATATTGCTGGGAAGAGGATTTATGCTCCTCTCCTAGCTTTTTTTGCCTTTTTTTTCAATATTGCTGACACTGCATTTAGTGATTTATTGAAGTGAGGAGTGGTATGAAGTTTCCAAAAAGTTTTCTTGGTTCTCATTTAGTGTCAGTAATGTGGACCTGAGCAAGCACCTTTTCATAGAATTCCCTTATTCAGATAGGCTTTAGGGACAGGCCTTATGTAATGTTTTCACATTGTGCAAAATAATATAAAATATAATATGAATTTTACATTTGAGATATATGTTATGAAAGTTACATTAACTGTGCCTTGAAATAAGTTGTCTTAAATGTACAGCTGTTGAAAAGATTCTGTCAAGAGTCAGCAGTATATGCATTGAAAACTATGTTTAGCAGATTAATAATTTTGATTTATTTATCTTTGCCTGAAATACTAAGGTTTTTTGTTGATCACAGACAACCTAGCACAACAAGTTTGTGTTATTACAAGTGTGAAGGAAGATGTGGCACGAGTAAGTTTTCTCCTTCATGAATCTCTGAAAAGCCAAATAAAAGTAAGTACAATTCTGTGGTTCTAAACTGTACTTTAATGTTTCTGGTTGTCATAACTCATAAGAAATGGTCTAAATAATGTAAATACAGGAACTGAGACCTCCTGTGTCACTGTAGTATTTATTAAAATGGATTAACACCAGGTGTGGAAGTTACCAAGAAAGCATCTTCTGCCCAATTATGCTGTAGAGGGGGATCATACAAATCCTCTTAAAATTTATATATTAGATTAGAGGAGAAATTGGATCCAGGCATCAGAGAGTCCATTTTCTTTAGATTTTATGAATTCAGTAAGCCCCAATTGTTACAAATATGTTACAGAGGAAATACTTCTGGTACTTTGAAGTCTGAATTAAAGTCTGAACCAATTAAGGAGTACGTTGTATTATTGCAGAGCTGCAAATGCAAAGACAAATTAATCAACCTTTTTTCAGAAAGGTAGGGGTACATTTTACTCATAGTGAACGCTCATTGAAGTCTTTGCTGTAGGATACTGATGGAATTTTCTACTGACGTTTAACTATCTTTTCTGTTTTCATTATTCCTACTTGTACAATTGTCACATATTTTCATTTTCCCAAAGGTGATTGACATTTGATAATTGCTAAACCTTGACTGATCTTGGGGTGATTGTTAATTACATCTTATGTGATGATATCACATCTATTACCCAGAGAAACAGATGGGGAATAGCTGTTCAAAAATACAGGTTTCCTGATTTGCATAATATCACTTGTATAAATGGTTTTATTCATACCTGTGGACACAAGCAGTGTGTGCTTAATTAATAGCAGGATGTTCTTCTGTAGCAAACTGTATTGCTATTTTATGTCTAGAAATGTTATTTGACATTGTACGTACAGGTTTTGTTTGGAAAAAAATGTATTTAGTATGAAAAATCATGCTTTATATCTATTAAATATCTACATTTAAAAGTGCAAAATGCTATCAGAGTTAAGACCTTTTCTTGTCTGAATAGCTCTATAATGGAGCAGAAATATCTGTCCGTTTTGCTAAAACCAAATCTATTGCTATTTTTCCTTTTTTCTCTCCATTTAAAATATTGTGCAATTACTAGGCATCACTTACCCATGCTAGGGAAAAAAAGTACTTATTTAAGTGTTGTTTTACCTGTATCGATTTATTAGTTTTGCATATAATCACTTTAATCATACCATGAGAAACACTTCCAAGCCAGGAAGTAAAGTCTAAGAATGCCCTTTTCAGAGGGTGAATTGGAGGGTAATTAATCTAAGTAAGACTCTAATTGGGAATCATTCAGTCAAGTACGTATTATCTGCAATTTAAACTTACTACTGTCAAATTTAGGTTAGATATAAGGAAGAAGTTCTTTACTGTGAGGGTGGTGAGAGACTGGAATGGGTTGCCCAAGGAAGCTGTGAATGCTCCATCCCTTCTGGTGTTCAAGGCTGGGTTGGACAGAACCTTGGGCGACATGGTCTAGGGTGAGCCATTCCTGCCCATGGCTGGGGGGTTAGAGCTAGATGATATTAAGTTCCTTTCCAACCCTAACTATTCTATGATTCTATAATATTTTAACATTTTAGTTTTGTGTAGGATACTAACATGCAAAATAGAGTAAGAATTAGTGTGAGTTATCTGATGATGTGTTCAGGTATCTGGTTAAGCGGTTGTGCTTAATTTACTGAGAGAGAAATCTGTTTTAATTTTTGCTGGGCAATATGGCTGTAAAACAAAGGCTCAGTGTACTGCTTTATCATATTCTACAAATTAAATAAAAACTTTGATAAACTAATTCAGGTTTTTGAATGTTCAGGAATACTTAAGCATCATGTATTGTAATATCTTAAAAAAACCCCAAAACAGTGTAGGCCCTCTGTCTTGAGTAATGTTCCATTTACCTTCTGAAAAGACTGGCATGAAGTATGCTTCTAATCATTTGAGTATGTGCAACATTGTAAAGGTACTGTGGATTTGTGATTTTAGCTCTGAAGAAGTTCAAACCAGGAGAACCCTTGAGTATTGCATTTTTTGAGTGATATAATTAATTCTTGCCTTCTATGATTTATTTATTTTTTTTTTTTAAATCTCTTTAAGTTATTAGATGTCAGCTATTTGGGGCTGCATTATCCTGTTTTCAGCCCAAAATGTTTCTAAAGTCTTCAGTGCATAAATATCAACCTTTGGGTTTCAAATCTCATTCTTTTGCAAACAAGTTAGCTCCCAAGTATTAATAAAATAAACAAATACAACTTTAGATAACAGTGCAAAGCCTTTTTAAATGTTGTATTTGGTACTTCTGTTGGATTGTGGGTTAAGTGACATTTTGAGGAAACACAGAAGTGTAGTGCTTCTGTTGTTTGCTGCAATATATAATGTCTTCTGGGCAGAAATAAAGCTCATTTGAGCAGTGGAACTGTGAAGTTTTCTGGTTTAATAGAAGCAACATGAAGATTTTATTTTTTTTTTGCCTAATTTTCAAGTTTTTCTTACTGGCTTCAAAGTGTTATCAATTTCTACGTCTACTGCCTGATTTGCTGTTTAACTTGAGGCAATCCTGATCTGGTAACATAGTAGAACCTACTTTTTATTTTAATTAAGATAATTTCTTAGCTGGTGTTACAGTTACAGGTTGCAAACTAAGCATGTCTGTGATTAAGACAGTATTTTGAGATACTCATTGAGGCAGTAATTTTCAGGAGAAATTCTAAATGAGTCTTGTTGTATGCAGAATCCCAGAATAGGTGCTTTCCAACCCTAACCATTCTGTGATTCTGTGATAATACTTGTGCACTTGATTTTTCACAGGTACTTCGTAACTTCTCTTTTTTTTAGTTGCATGGAGAAAAAAAAAGTATTTGAATATTATGGAGATTTTCTTAGAACTAGAGGTCTAGAATCATTTGATCATCTTGATCCTATGAACAGTGTTCTCATCTCTGGGAACAGTTGAACTTCCTAACCCGTGCATCAGTGCTTGTGTCTGGTATTTCCTGGGCTGTTACTGGAATGGCTCCATCAGCAGTATCCTTCAGTAAAAACTTGCAGAAAACTCCATAGGGTGTTGGACTCCATGCTTCACTGTTGAGTCACCTAAAAATTTGAGCAATTTTAATTCTCATAGTGGAAATAATAATTGCCAGTTTTAAATCATTTGAATTAACAAACTGTGCCCTAATGGTGGATGCTTTAGCAGATATTTGAGGCTGAAGTGAAATTTGTGACATAGCAATATTTTTTTTTCTAATTAGGTTGAAGCTGTATCAATAATTCTAAGCAAAAATGATGGCCATCTACAAGATATCTTTTCAGGACAGTGCTACAATTTTGTTTGTATAAATGTAAGTATTAAGGATGCATGCTTTTAATTTTCCACATAAACTTATTATTAATGGTAAGTAATAATTACTTATTTGAATAGTTGGTTGTTATTTCTGTGCTCCTGGTGTATCCATTCCAATACTTGGTGTTTTTCATGCGCACCAAATCAGACATTTGAGATAGACCAGTACCTTTGAGGTACTGGTCTGTCCTTTCTCTTCTTGTTCTGCACTTTTGCCAGTATGTTGTTAAACCAGCCATGAATTCTAGAACAAGAGGAATGCAACTGAAATTAGCTTCAGATTTCCTTTCATAGATATTGTATTGAAGTGAATGATCTCAAGAAGAGGTATGTCATATGTGTAGTCATCCAACTGTGGATTGTCACTGTGGGCTAAATTAGTGTTTCCCATTTTGGACACACGCATACCATACAAATCTGTGTTTGGGCCCATGTATGGGAACAGGAAAGTTTTAGGTGAACCATATCTGAGACAAGTGAGGACCCTTAAGCTTGTTACATATATATTTATTGAGGGTAGAATTAGTAATTTCCATTTCTTCTTTTTTTTTTTTTTTCCTCTAACAGCTGTAACTTTACCAGATGCAAGTGTTACAAAAACATTAAAACTGACCAAACAAAACCCCCTAAACAAAAAAGTAATGTATCTATTTTTGGTATATAACAGATCTTTGAATTCAATTTTTATTAAATCATCATTTGATGTTTCAGTAATTCTAAACATTTACTTTCATTTAGGATAAAAAGTATGCAATTGAAGAAACCCAGAAACTAGTGGATATGTTGGAAAAATCAAATATTCCTCTCTTATATCCAGTTGTCCTTATTTCGGTGGGTAACTCCTGTAAGTTACTGTAGAAAGCATCTAATGAAATATTTTTAAGTGTTAGACTAGCTTTAAACTGCTGCTAGCTTTGGATAAAATTGTAAATTTGAACTGTAACTTGGATTGTAAAGAGCCTAGTTTGCACTTCAACAGATGTGCTGCATGCTGTCAGGAAATAAAGCAGCACTAGCAAATGACAATTTATTAGTTATGTATTTTTGTGAAAAACTCAATTGTGGCTAGTCATATTGAACTGCTAACTCCTGCTTTGCTGTCGCGCTCCATCTCTGCTGGGGATGCTGCAAATGATGCAAAAAAAGTTGAAACAGAATTAGGTGGCTTTAGTTTTTTTCTGTGCTGTGTGGTTTATTCAAAGTTTTAAAATTACTGTTACTTTTCTGCTCCAAGTATTAAAAAATATGAAATTACTTTAAAAATTAATTACTTTGCAATATAACTTTAATATACTTTACTTATTGAGATGTTGTAAGACTGAAAAATCTATACTGGTATGTGGCAAAAGTTTTAAGTTGTATTTTTGGCTGAAAGTCTCATTATTTTAATATTGCAGCCAGAATAATTTAACAGTTCATGTGGATGACAGCTGAAGGTGTACATGACTTTTTACTCACACTGTCAAAAAGGAGAAAATACGAGTCAATTTGAAAGTCTTCCTGCAGTGTAAGCAGACCCAGTTAGTTCTGTCATGTTTTCTGGCTTAATAGGTAGGGATCAGAAGTATTGGGTGCAATGAGTGTCATTATGCCACATGTCACAAGGAGTGTGCCTCTGAACTACATTTATTATACCCTCAGCGATAACACAATAGGTTATGATTTTAAATATATACTTCCATATATGAAGCTATTGAAAAAGGAATAAATATTTATAATACATGGGGTATGAATAGCTTCTGAAGTACATGGTCTAGTGATCTGGAAATAAAACTAAGCATTTACTTCCCAATTTTAGACTTAGTCTGAAATGTAGGTGATGAAATTTCATTACTGAGCTAACAAAGGAGGTATGAAGATCAATTACAAAAAAAAAAAAGTTATATCCTTACCTGTTGTATACTGTTGGAGTGAGCTACTGATTCTGTGAGCATAGATATTTAGTACTTTATTTCTAGACCATCTTTTTCTCTTGACCCTATTTCTGATGAAGTTCAGGGTAGAGCTTTAATTTTACTGAATTGTCAAAGATAAAACATTTCTCTGTTTGATAATCAGAGCAATGACCCCTGTCCAATTCTGTTGCCCATTTACAAGGATGTGCAGAATACTCTTTTCTGGAGTGAGAATGTTTTCATTTGTCCTTTATGAAGAATATAAAAAGACATTTCTGTGTTAAATTTTGGGGGTGTGCAGATAAAGTTGGAATTGCTAATCAGCTAGGTAATGCTTATTTTGTGCCCGATTTCATAGATCAGCTCTGCTCTGGACTTTTAAGTGTTTTTTTTAGTGTGACACATGGACACATTGTTTTAATAATTAAAATATTCTGGACTTAATAGTTCCTGAGAAATAGGTATGAATTCAAGTAATGTTTACATAAACTCACCATGAAGCTCCTAAGATTTTTCCCCTGAGACACCAGATCTCAAAATCATTATAGAATCCAGCATTTTCAGTGGAAGTGAACTTGCTTGAACAGCCTGCAGCATGCACAAATTATTTAGGTGCACACCTTTTGAAATGGTCTCAGGATAAAATAATACATTTGATCCCTTTACTGTACTCCATATCCATCAGTTGTTCATGACAACTACCTGAAATTTCCCAAAACTAGACAGTGGGAGAAAATCTCATAAATAGGTCAAAACACTTGCTAACATTTAAAACACAGATACATATATATTTGTTAAAAGTATCTTCAAATAATGAAGTACCCTAATTATAAAAAGGCTTTTTATACTGCACTTTCAAATTTTATGGAGTTACCACACTATCTTTTAGAAATACAAGAAGGAAAAAATAAGAGGATTGGAAAGTATGTTTTAAATGACTAAAGAACTAGCTAAACAAAGCATTGTCTCGTCTCATATTAATCACTGGGAACTATTTAAGTCCTTTAAACTTCTGATGCCTAAAACTCATTACAGATGTTATGGCTGGGGGATAGAAACTTCCTTCTGCAGTCTTTAATTAAATTCAGTGTTGGGTGTCCTCTTCACTAGGGCTTGTGAGTGGGATTCTCCTCGGCTTTATTCTTTGCTCTGTATTTCATTTAATATAAAACCTGAATACATTGGTAATGAAAAGCCCCATAAGACACTTTCTTTTGATGTAAAAGGGCATATTAATATTTCTCAGGCAAATGCGACTCAGAATTTTAAGCAACATGATGATACTTAAATGCACAGGTTTTAAGTACTAGTTGTACAGGAAACATTATTCATTTTTACTCTGAGAAGTAAAACTGTTCCTGGTAGTGAAGAGCTGAAAGGATAAAAGTGAAGAGCAGCTAACTGCTTCCACTCTAACCTCATGATCTGAACAGTCTAATGTAGACTTCTGCATAATTGGAGTTCTTGTCTATTCTTTGATTTCAGGACTTGTAACTTTTTGGTAGCAATCTGATACTTAAGAGAATCAGTTCTATTTTTCCATCAAATATGCAGCTTCTTTAGTTGTAAAAATGACAGGTGTTACTATTGTGTTTAACCAGCCTGGGGAGAATTGTCCCTGTGAAAGGCTGTGCTTACACTATACGTAATGACTTCTGACCATATTCCCACCTATAAATTGCCGCGGATTTCAACGTCTGTCCTTTTTCCTGGTGCCTGACTGGAATTTTTTGTGGCATCTGTATGCCGAAGCAGCAGTTGGACTACTGTATCTGGACACAGGAGAAAAGGGAAGATTAGTGTTACAAGAGAAATAGGAAGCACAGAGGTAAACTTCATGCAATTACTTGTCAGTATCAAACAAGTATCCTCTCCAACTCTAACAAGAAGAATCATATTCTTAAACTGACATTACTTTTCTGAGTAATACATGCTCACATCTGTAGATTTTCTTCTGTTGTTCTTATTACTTACGCTTAGAAAGAAAAGAATGCTAGTACTTCAGCTCTGTAGTTGCCATTATTTGCATTTCACTACAAAATTAAGTTTGAGTAAAATATCTTTTTAAAGCTGTGGAACAGGTTAATGGCAAATAGGTGTTAGGTCGTATTCTCTCAGAATAATAGCTGTTAAAATTTCTTGTAATTAGCTGTAAATGAGTATTATTTAGCATTGATTTGGGTAAAATTAAAAATAATGAGTGTGAAATTAAGCTCTGCCTGCATAGTAGAACACAATAGCTTTGCTCCTGGTGAATGTGCACTTAGACAGTAAACATCTTTTTAAAAGTGTTGCCAGGGAAAATGAGTAAAAACCTATTATCATCTGTCAGGATAAATTGAATAAAATGTGCAAAAAGAACTTGAAATACTTTTCCCAAGCACAGCTCTCTGGAGCCAACTCTATACTCGTACCTCTCTGTAATACTTACAGATATCAGTGGAATAGTTCATCCAGAAAAATATTTTCTTTCTTTTAAGGGGAAAGGTATTTCAGCTGTTAATAGATGCTGAAACTTCATATGACCAAATCATCCTGCATAATTTTGATTTCTGCAGTTAACAGAACCTTCATCAATTAAACTCTTTAAACTGAGGAACACCTAAGCCTTGGGAAAGGGTTGAGCTAGTTGATACCTTCCTGGAGATACCAGTACAGATCCTGTAAAATCCACTGTTGTTTGTGCAGCATCCCTGCTGAATACAAGACCTGCCTTCCCCTGCCCAAGAGCTCAGGAACCTCCAGTGCAGATATAGTCTTTGCAGCTTCTTAACTTAGTCAACAGGAAGCAAAACCATTCTTTTGAATAGTTTCTGCTTTTAAACTTGCAGTGTTATACTGAAATTAATACAGTTTAGGCAGCTAATATGCTATACTAAAAAAGTAATAAATTCAAAATAAATCTTTAAAGAATGTAGTTCCACTTTGAAACCTTGAAGATGCTTAAGAAAAACACCTCTATTTCTCCAGTATCGTGATAGTAAAGGATAGTAAAAAAAAAAAGGAGGAAAACCCCTTGAAAGTAAGATTAGAGCTTAAAAAAGAATGTTTGGGTTTTGATTTAAGTAATTGTTTTTAATATGCAATTAGAACATTCTGTTCTGATGTGTTCTGGCTTATTGGTTCACTGTGCTTTGAAAATAAATAATTTTCATGTCACTAAATATGTAACTAATGGAATTCAATGGTAATAGAAGCTAAGGCAAACCTTTGTTAGCCTGTATTTTTATGTGTGCTTAACACATACAAATGAGATACTAAAAACTAGCTGTCTAAAGTAGCGCACTATGGAAAAAGCAGATTTATTTTTTTAATTATTTTCTTAAATTCTTTATTTGTTCCTCTTAAGGTGCACTTGGATGTTTCAGAAAATATTTCTTGCAGTATTGCTATGGAAGAACTAACTAGGATCAAGAAATTTGGAAGGGAAGTGAAAAAGAAAAATATTTTGCTTTATGGAATCCTTTTTCAATATAAGGTATGTAATTTTTTCTACATGAAAATAGTCTTTTCTGATTTATATGATTAATGATAGAATCTTCATTTAAAACAAAATCAAAGGGAAATAAATAAGACATGAAAAAAGATTTTTTTTTTAAGATTCTTGCCTGTTCTTGTTCAAAATTCAGAAGAGCCTGTAGTTATAGGCAAAAACGCAAGCATTTTGATTAGACAGGAATAAATGGCAAACATTTTTTGAAGCACACAAAAATGTCCTTTTTTCTGTTTGCCTTTCTGCTTTGAAACTTGCTTTTTGCAGCATTAAAAAGTAAAAAAGCAAAAAATTGTAAAAGTACATTTGATCAGTGGTTCTGCAGAATTTTACATTCCTCACCAAAACAGTGTTTGGTATTCAGGTGGCAGGAAGGGCATGGCATATAGGTGTTGAAACAGTGTCCATCTCTGCAATAGCAGCAGATTGCCTCAGCTGGTGGCAAAAAGAGTTAGTACTCTAGCATCCTTTGTACTGACATTTAGTTAAACCATTTTGCCTGGGAATCATGTTCTGCCAAAATGAAAAGCGGGCTGCCTGTTCCTCCCATGCCAGTACAGTCTTTGCAGCTTCCTAACTTAGTCAACAGGAATGGAGAAATTCAATATTCAATGTAAATTTTAATAAAGAGGTATAAATGTAATCTGGACTGGGTTTTTTTCAGGTTTTTTTTTTTTTTTTTTTAGGCTTTTGGGTTTATATCTAAATGATTTAAAATGGCTATAGTTATATACCTTCTTCTGGTATACCAAAGACTTGATTTTTCCCTCCCAATTCTGTGGCTTTATTAAGATCAATGACTGTCAATACCTATCAGTTTATGCTTTTTCAGACTTATGATGCCAACAGAATACAGCTAATGCTATTGTTTGACATTAGTTTATCTCGTTTGTACAACATACAAGGGCATACAATTGTTTTCAGTCTTCCTTCTGGTACTATCAAACTCCAGTTTTTTCCAGAGTGAATTTTGGTTTCCTTGATAAAGATAATTTGAATTATTATTGAAATGTAGTTCTGAGAGGCACGTTATCCTGATAACGTTGCAAAGATTGATTTATTGTAACTATAGTTTTTTTCTTTTTAAACTTAATTGGGTGAGTATATGATTTTTTATGCAAATGAATCAAATATACGTATGTGGAAAACAACAGTTAGTAAAGCTGACTGGGAAATAAGGAAAAACTTTTCTAATCTTCAGTGGATTTTTGTGACTATGGCAACTAAACATCTTATCAATGACAGACAGGTGTAACAACAGTATGGGATCTGAATGAAATTCTTGATCCTTAGAGGCAAAAGAATTGTAGCAGAATGCTGCTTCTATTTTTTGAAAATAAAAATCTAGAATGATTATGTAACATCACTGCAGGCAGAGTTATCTTTTGTTAGCAAGGAAGAAGTATTATATAGAGTCAAACACTTCACAAAGTAAGTAAATTACTGGCTATCTTGTTTTAAAGTGGCTTTAAAACATGTCTTGCTTACAAAGATGGGAATATAGTCCTGAGTTCCTGCTTATCAGTGTTTTGATAGATGATTAGCAAGTAGGTTATGCAGGTAATGTTTATATATGTGATATATGTATCAAGTTTTCTTTTAGCTGTAGATTTGCAAAGAACATAATCGTTTCTAGACCTATGGAAAGACTTGACATCTGAATCTAGAAATTATAAAACCCAGACGTTATTGCTTGTCTGGAGAAAAGGGGGGGGGGGCGCTATGAATGAAAGCAATTCATTAAGGAAAGGAATCTTGGAATCTTCCAAAAGTTTTGGTTGTTTATTTTTTGTGTGGTTTTCTTTTTTTTTCCTTTTTTGTTGTTGTTTTGGTTTGTTTGGTTTTGTGTGGGGTTTTTTTTTGTTTTTTTTAAATTCCAAAGCATTATTTTTGTCACCTAGGTATTTTCCTTTTAGGGCAACCTACTAGCCAGCAGGTGAATCCATAGGTGAATTACATACTTGAGGATAGAAAGGCGAATACAGACATGATGGGGGGTCCATAGGAAGTGGAAACACAGAAAACACCTGCTGTGTAATGCAGGATACTAAGTCCATTGTCACAATAACTTCTGTCAGTATCTGTTTTCCAGAGGTCCCTGAAAGCTATAGTTTATTTCAGGGAAAAGGGTGATGACAGATTACCTTACGGAGCTTCCCACTAGCTGACAGGTTTATCATTGCTACCAGACACGTACAGCTGATACATACAAACAGGGATAAAATGTAAGGAATGAGGAATTCATTGAGACAACTGGATCATGGTAATGCTGAGGTGAAGTTATTTTACATTTAGAAGGGTTATGATGAAGTGGGCATGATGATATATTGCTATAAAAGAATATGGAGGCACTCTTTCAAGATTCTGCATTAGAAAAGTGAATTTGTTGAAATAAATATTGTTGGAGATACATAGTTGGTTTTTTTAGGCTTTGGAAGTAGAAGTGAAATATTTTTGGAACCTAGGAGTACATTTTTGACAGTATTGGAGGAAATGTGAAGCCCGAAGTAAAAGTATGTCTTCATTTTAATTTCTTAAATGAAGTGTTTATTTGGTATATAGAAAAAGGTATCAAGTATTTCTATGAATATTTGATACTCCAAGAAGCTAATCAGGAAAATTAAGGGAAAAGGTGTTAATGTGCTTTATAAATGCCCTGCTTTGTACCTCCCATTTGCTCAAAATGTGTGCCTGTTCACGGCTTGTACACAAATAATTATTTTGCTTATAAACATCATGCATGGAATACAAATTGCTGATATTGATTGAAAGGTTGGATTCACTTCATAATAGCTCTAGTTTGCATCTTGAAAGTATTGTTGTTTTAAATGTCACTCATGAAAATATTTTCAGACAGTTCTTTGGCTGAATTACAAAAATAGTCAATACACTTAGAAAATATAAGCAGCATTTCTGCATATTCAAAAGCTTGTAAAGGTTGCAATAATAAAATCTTGGTCTAGAAATTTCAGTAATAAATTTATTACATTTCACAGAGAATAAAAAGGAACAATTCTTATCCAAAATAAAGCATGCATGGGTGGACATACGAAGTCACAGAAAGCTTAAAATATTAAGTAATCCTAATATATCTTGGTTATAGACCTATATTAATTTTCAATAATCCTAGTTCAGAAAGGCACTGGCAGAATGTAGGGTCAGAACAGCAAGTATGTGCTAAGGCTTGCTTGGGGTAAGGTGGCCCCAAATACTTTTGCCTCTGAAATTGCTATTTGATTTAGGTAAAGGAACTATTCACTGACAGACAGAAAAATCACAGTCCATACTCTAAAAAGAGACAAATGGCGTGATAGAATAATTTTGAAGATGCTTAAAACTAGGAGGAAAATAACTGTGGATGATTTCTAATGCAAGCATACTGGACATCTATTGTACTCTTAAAAGACTTTATGAATACAATAGGCCCATCTACAGTATGCTTGATGGCTCAAGAAACGAAGAGTGCTAAATGTATTTTCTGTCTGACTTGGTCGACCAAAAAGGTAAATGTTTACAGCTTTTTTTTACATCAAAGATCCCTTAAAAATAGTATTAAGTGCAAACATCAAGGCAGTGGTTCTCAAAACAGGGATCACAGCCCTGAATGCGATCATCCAAGTGGCAAAGTAGAAAGTATTTTGGCAACCAATAGTAGAGATAAGGAGCTTGAAGGGCAAATGAGGTAAAATCACAAACTAAAAGTTTTGTAATTGTTGAAAATAAATGAGTCATACTCTCCATGATCCCTCCATGCTTCTCAATTAATCTAATAATCAACATAGAATTGGTCAAATGACTGTAATCTGATTAGAATGAGTGGGATGCTGCCTGGAGACCTCTTCTCAACATGACACTTTTTTAATTTCAGCTGCAATAACGTAATAGACTGTAATGGATCTGGAAACCTACATCTATTCATAGAAGTCCTTAATGGTGAATAATTACTCTAGTATTTTCAAGAGCCGGAACCTGAACTTTTGAGTATTATGATCCTGTAGACTATTCACTCTTTCATCAAGGAAAATTGGGGAAATGAGTGATGAGCCAGAGTGATGTTGCTTGCACAGTGTGCGACAGAGAGGGAAGCCACTTCCAGTTTGAAACTTTCTACATGAGTAACCTCATAGAAATCAGGTTATTAATACAGAGGACTACTGGTCATTCAGTAAAACCAGAGACTGATATTTATGAAGAATGGACAGTGTTTAATCCTTACTTATTGCTACCATTTGTAATCAGTCATGCATTATTTTGCAATAGTTAGAACTGACATGATGAAAAAGGTTTATAGAAACTGACTTCTAAAATAAAACTACAAGTAACTCTATGCAATTTTCAGTGAATAAAAGATACAGAACTGCGGGTTCTATTAACTTGATACTCAAGAATTCAAACATAAAACTATCCCATTCCCTTGGAAATGACTGACACAAAAATAGTAAGATCTCTCATAAAGGACAAGATTCTGAATGGGCCATATCACCTTTCAATGCCCCCCAAAAGATGGCAGCATAACTCATGGAATTAAAAGTTTATAGGTATTATTTTGCATATATCAATTTTTAGATCTTCAGTAATTTCAGCAATATTTATCTTCATGTTTGAATTTTGCAGTTGTGTAAATATTATTTGAAGCAGAGTCATTTGCTTTGACGAAAAAGATTGTGCATTCACAGAGAAGAATCAGTATGTTCTGTCAGTATGGTATTTTCACACACATGAACAATTGGAGATAATTTTGTGACCCTCCTTGATAGTTTTGTCTTTCATTTTGTTTAGAAATGTCCAACAGCTTGTGGCTTATTCATACATTTTACTGTGTGAATGTGTGGAAATTTTAACAGGCGTTATTCAAGAAGTGTATGATCACAAACATTGGTCCATCTGGTTGAATTGATCATCGGAATTTTTTTGTCTGTCAGACTTGCTGACATGAAATTTCATTTATAGGAACTTCTGAAAATAGCACCTTTTTTAAATATAGA